CTAAGTTGAAAGCTCCAATCATATTTAGTTGGTGCATTATATTGTTTTGTGCTTAAATGACTAAGAAAACTCTAGAAAACACGAGGTTGATCCTCTTTGGGCTACTCCTACCCCAAAGTTATGAATTGACAAGCATCGAATTGTGGGTACTCATTTAATTTGGCATTCTACTCATGTGAGTACAGATTTCTCAAACAGATATATTATATTGATGACGTCCATGTTAATAATTACTATTCATATTTTGTCATATTTATTACATCGATCCATTTTATTTCCAAACAAGTAGTATCACAGATATTGGTTGTGATTTGTACGAGGTTTTTGCTTTTAATGTTAGCCATGAAGTATGAAATTTCGCTCTTGGATCGATTCAAGATTCTCGTTGTAGCAAGTAAATATGTGAGATATATTCGTGCAGATGGATTTTGGTGATGCGTTGTTGGGATTTGACAAAATGCCTATAACTTGGATGATGAAGGAGAAATAACATGAGGATCGAAAGGCACTTTCACAGATCTATCTTCATATCTCTAACAATATTTTTCAGGATGTTTTGAAGGAAAAAATGCTGGCTGAGTTGTGGTTGAAGTTGTAGCAATTGTTCATGACTAAAAGTTTGACAAACAAATTGCATCTGAAACAGATGTATTCTTATCGCATGGAAAAAGGCGAATATTTGGAAGATCATTTGGCTGTGTTAAAGGAGATCGTCGTTGATTTGGATACTTTAAAGGTAAAATATAATGAAGAAGATTTGACCTTAATCATTTTGTATTTGCTGCCCACTTCGTTTAGAGACACGATCTTGTATAGTCGTGATACTCTCACCATTGAAAATGGGTATGATGCCTTATTTGCAAAAGAGAAGATGAAGCATGTAGTTGATTCCCAGAGATGGAGAAAGCCTTCATGGTGATCAGACAAGGGGTAAGTCGATGTCAAATTTCAATAAATACGTTTGTTATTATTGCAAGAAGAAATGACACATTAAGAGGGATTGTGACAAATTGTAGAATAAAGGTAATTTGACTACAAATCATGGGAATCAATCAAATACTTCAGAGGAGACTAACATAGCCGAGAACTATTTGAGTGATGGAGATGTTTTGACGATTTCTAACATGGAATCCAAACCTAACGAGGAGTGAATTTTGGATACAGCTTGTGCGTTCCATATGTGTCCCAATCGGAATTTGTTTAAAACATATGAAACGATGATGCAATGTGTCATTGTCATGAGTAACAACGAACCTTGTTGAGTAGTTGGTATTATTAGAGTCAGATTGAAGCTGGTGGATGGAACATGATCAGCAAAGTGCATGAAATATTCTTTTATATGTGATTCTCAATGCATCTTTTCATCAAGCGCTTGAATAAACACCTCAGTGTTTAAATGTGCAGATATGGTGTTCTAGCCTTGTTTATTGTAAACAGTTAAATGGAAACAATTTGATGCGTGTAAGCAACGTAACAAGAAATCAAGCTTTTGATTCACATGAAAGTTATAGGTCCAAGGCAAAACAAACTGGACAGATGGAATAATTCCTCTGAATAATATTGTTAAGTTAGGATGAATGAATTCACTAGATCGGATGCCCTACGTTTACAAATATTTGTAGCCCTAAATCTAACTTGATGACCATGTAATAGAGTTTATTGGAAGCTAACAAATAAGGCCAAAGTAACTATAAAACAAATTCTTAAGATACACAAATTAAAATCAAGTGCAGCAGTATTCGTATCGCCTTTCCACAATGCAGTGCATTGAATAGTTAAATGGAATCGTCGGGCAATGAGATAATTTTGGTCTTTTGGGGGATTTGATGTTAATATAATTCTCCTATTATTATTATTATTATTATTTTTTTTTTTTTTTTTTTTTTACGTAACTGCTTATGTTAGATTTCCTCTAGTTATTCATTTTAATAACTGGGAATATCTTTGAATTCCAATTTCAAAATTGAAAGCTCCAATTATATTTAGTTGGTACAGTATATTCTTTTGTGCTTAAATCCCTAAGAAAACTCTAGCAAACACAAGGTTGATCCTCTTTGGACTACTCATACCCCAAAATTATGAATTGACAAGTATTGAATTGTGGGTACTCATTTAATTTGGCATTCTACTCATGTGAGTACAGATTTCCCAAACAGATATATTACACTAATTACTGATTAAGTCCATGTTAATATTTACTGTTCACACTAATGACAAGATGATTTAGCCTGACGGAAAAAAAAAAGAAAAAAGAAAGCTGAATAGTGAAATTTAACGATGTAATTATTGGTTTTAATTGCGTTCACGTTATGTATTTCACGTTACTTTTTTTAATCGAAACAATGTTTCTTTTGCGGTATATTTGATGTACTATATTTGAAAATTAGATTATGGTCTAATTAAATTTTGACACAGTATCTAAGTCCTATTTTATGACTATGAAGCATGTTTACTTAGATTAATATTGTTAAACCATGCATATTTGATACTTTATGGTTCTGTTAACTCTTGTTGTCTAATGTTTTTGTGATACATGTGCATCATTGTGTTCAATTATGTTGTCCAAGTGAGAGAAATTGCAAATATTTATATTTGGACTAAAATAATCACTAGGCTCATAAAGGTTTTGCCAAATAGATCAAGTGATAATCTATTTAATTAAATCATATTTGTTACGTGGGGCATTAATTTTGACCAATAGTTGTATACATTGAATTTCACATTGTGTATTAGTCTATTAGATGCCACCCTTTCTTGCACTGCAGGTGAAATACAAGAGTTGAACGAATGCACCTGCTCAAATGTATGTATTACTAAAATTCAATATTATGAATTTCATGTGTTTATCTTATTGTACTTAAATATTTGACATTGATATTTTGGAAATTTTTTAAAAGACTACAAATGTGCAAGCAGAGAATAAGAGCTTACAAATATTGTGGTAGCAAATTATTGTTCAAAAGAGGCATGGATAAATTGTAGTCCGTGATGAACATACATAAATCATCAAGGGGATAGGCTTAAGCCCATAAGGGAGTCATTTCAAGAAGTAACCCATATTTGTGATTGGAGATCCCTTGAAAAAAAATTAATTTGATAGAAATAACTTGTAATGTGTGACTCTTAATAACACTATATTATTTGTGCTTATACCTATGGTAATAGCACTAATAATTGTAACGTGAGGAAGGGTTTAACCCTGAATGAGTACCGAGATGACAATTCTTGCGAGGTGTGGATCGAACGCACTCTTGGAGGATTTGCCTACGTAAGAGTTGCCATGAGGCTGTGACTATGAGATTAGACTATTTCCTATGGACTCTTACTAGAATCAAGATAAGAATGCATGGCTATTAATGGTGCTACCCGATATGAATTGAGCCTAAATCGATACTATATATGATGACAATTGAAGTTTAGTCAAAGGAACCTAATTCAAGGTTTAGTCCATTATGGCTCCCTTAAATGAAAATTGTTATTACTAAGTGAGGTTCAAGTAGAAAGGTACCCACACTTAGTACAATAGTGAAGAAAAAGGAAAAAGTTTGAACCTCTTGGAGTAGAACCTCCTCTATCACAACTTCAGGGTGAAACATGTCTGTAACATGAGAAATTGAAGCAAGAGTGAAAATTGTCACAATGATTTTGTATTGGACGGCACGAAAGATGTGTTTAGATGAAAAGGGAAATTTTTATTGGTGTATGATAAAATTTAAACGACGGTGCTATTTTAATTATCTATTTGTAGGAATTTGATTAATCATGTATTCTAGATTTTGAGACTTTTCTTGTTGGAAACTTACAATGTATGAATTTTCGATAAATTTATTATAAGCATAAATAATTAAAATAAAATTAAGAATAAGAAAATAGTTTTTTATGTCTGGGCTCGTAAAGCTTGAAGTATAGCCTAGTTAGAACACTGCTTTTTATTGAGACCAATGGATACTGTTTTATTTTGTTGTTTATTTCAGTATAGCGAGTAGGGATGCCTTACTACTCGATCGTGGGATTCTGAAAGTGTATGGACCCTGACAAGTTCAAGTATCGTACCCACATGGACTAAGTATTTAGTGCTAATTTTATCCGAATCTAACTTCAATCTAAATTAAGATGATAACCAAAATATAATTCAAGAGTTTATATTTTTCACTAAATTAAACTAACAAACTAAAATATAACTAGTGAGAAGCACGTACAAGGCACGTGTCATGATATAGTTCACTAGTTAATAGCGCATGTATAAAAAAAGTATTTATGTCAAACATTAGCTACATAGAATTTTTTCTATAAGTATGAACAGTAAAAGAAAACTCGCTCCTAAAAAAAGAACATGCTGAACGGACCTCCGTGTCCGTTCAGAATGGACCTTTTGGTCTGTTTAGTCAAAGGGAAAAAAAAGGAAAAAAAATCCGGCAAAAAAGTCATTCGGCTCGACTTGCGGCTTATGAACAGTGAAAATGGAACTCGCCTTTTTATATAGTAGTGATATAAGCATTTTCTCCACAGTTTTAAAACGTGAGGTATTTTATCTTTATTATCTTGAATAATAAGAAACAAATGTTGGAGAATAAAGATTGCCGTAGTATCAATGAACAATTTCCCACACTTTATTGATGTAATAGGAAAAACTATTTACGGCAATGTACAGCGGTTACAAAAATATACAAAATTAATTTTGAATGATCAATTGATTTGGACTTTTTCAAAATTGAAAAATTGCACGACACCTTTCAATTTGTTTTCTAAACAAACCGTGCAACTGTCAGAAGTTTATTCGCATGCAGTTTTACAACGTGTTTTAACCTTGGACAGTCAGACTGTTGCCTTGTCGGAAAGTAATAAAATTTTCTTCGCAGTTTTAAAACGTGTTGGACGGCTGCCATTCAAATTAGAAGTTGCAAAATCTCAGTTTATAAATACCCATCAAAAGAACCCTATTAAAATAAGAAACATTTGTTAGATTTCCTATCTAAGTTCTAAAAGTATAATATAGAAATATGGATATTCAAATCCATGCATCGGCTGCTCCAATTACCACCAAAAATTTTGGCAATGAACAAACTCGTCGCTCCATCTCGTATCATCCTACTGTTTGGGGAGACTATTTCCTTGCATATACTTCTAATGTACGTATTGTGCTTATTCCTCCTTTTTAAGTATTATTTTTTTCGTCAAATTTATCAAAATATGATTTTTATTTAAACTTTTTATCAATCTAATTGAAATAATCAATTAATATCATGTATCTATTTTACTTCTTATGCAGGAGATATATGGGCAAGAGGAGCAAGAACGTCAAAGACTAAAAGAAGAAGTAAAAAGTCTACTAGAAGCCATGCCAGATGATTCACTGCATAAATTAGACCTCATTGATGCAATTCAACGTCTTGGCGTCGGTTACCATTTCGAAACTGAAATTGAGAAATCTCTAAAATATGTATATGATACTTGCCATGAAAACTATGGTAAACAAGATAGTGACCTTCGTACCATGTATATCTCTAGGTTATAATTTATGTACATTTCTTATTTTTGTGGGTGGAAGCAGACGTTTTCAACAAGTTTAAGGATCACCAAGGAAAATTTGATGAATCTTTGATCACCAATTTACAAGGCTTGTTAAGCTTGTACGAGGCTGCACATTTTGGAGTACACGGAGAGGAAATTCTTGAGGAAGCATTGAAGTTTACTACCACTTACCTCGATTCGTCGCTCTTCCACGTGAGAAATTATATGTCTACACAAGTTAGTGAAGCATTGGAGATGCCAATTCATAAAACATTGACAAGGCTGGGGGCAAGAAACTTCTTATCTATTTACCAAAAAGATGAATCACATAATGACATACTACTGAATTTCGCAAAATCAGACTTCAACTTACTGCAGAAGATGCATCAGAAGGAGCTAAGTGACATAACGAGGTTAGCTTGTTACGTAAAATAATATCACTACAAAAGTCGAATATATTTTTCTCTTCTTTTCAACTAATATCAAATTTACGTTCAAATTTGAAGTTTATTATTGATATATATTGATATGGAATTAAACTGTAGGTGGTGGAAGTCTTTAGAGTTTGGAAGTAAATTGCCGTTTGCCAGAGATAGGGTCGTCGAATGCTACTTTTGGATATTGGGGGTCTACTTTGAGCCCGAGTACTCTATTTCTAGAAAAATACTAACTAAAGTAATCGCGATGTTTACCGTTATTGATGACATCTACGATGTCTATGGAACCCTAGATGAACTTGCACTTTTCACTAATGCAATTGAAAGGTATATTTATCTATTATTTTCTCTCATTTCTAGTCATTCAGTTTTTTCCTATTGAATAATTTCATGGACAGGTGGAATATTAATGACATGGATGAGCTACCATTATACATGAAATATTGCTTTAAAGCTTTCTCTGATGTTCGTGTTGAAATTACCGAAGAGTTGGAAAAGACAGGCAGGTGGTATGGTATTCATTATGTGATAAAAGAGGTAATTATTGTCACTACACTAGACATATATATTTTCCACAGTAAAAAATATATTCAATATATTACATGTTTCCATTTGTAGATGAAAAATTTAGTCGGCGCATATTTTGAAGAGGCGAAATGGGTATACAATCGATACATGCCGACACACATGGAAGAGTACATGAAAGTCGCACTTATATCTAGTGGTTACATAATGTTATCTACAACTTGTTTAGTAGGTATGGGAGAGTTGGCGACTGAGGAAGTCTTTGACTGGATTTCGAGTGAATCGATAGCCGCAAAGGCATCAGCAATTATTGCTCGACTAATGGATGACATGGCAGGACACGGAGTAAGAAGTTTGAATTATTCATTTACTTATTCTAAAGTATAATGATTAAGTGCAACACACTTGGGTTGTTTATATGCAAGTGAAATGTGTGGATGAAAGTTCACACACACACACACACACATTGCCCGCGGAGTTATTGGGTCATTGCCTGGGGAGTTATTGGGTGTCAAAACCCAACACCTATCGTCATTTTAGCATTAAACTAACATGTTTGATACATGTGAAATATTGTGATTAAGGTTACATAATTATTTTTTTTCATGTTGCTCGACTAATGGATGACATGGCAGGATACGGAGTAAGAAGTTTGTATTCTTAATTCACTTATTCTAAATTGTAATAATTAAATAATTAAGTGCAATGTGCTTAGGTTATTTGTATGCAAGTAAAATGTGTGGGTGAAAGTTCACACATATTGTGACAGACTTCATAAAAATTAGAACACACAACTCCTATGGTCATTTTATCATTGAACTAACATGTTTGATACATGTGAAATGTTGCGACTAAGGTCATTAAAGTTATATCGTTTTTCTAGATTTTATTCTATTATATTTGTAATAGTAGAAGGTTGGAGTAATGTTATTCATAATTTCTCACTGCAGCAGTCGCCATATGTGGCACACACATGGCATATAATTATTTGATACATTAATGTGGTAATTTTTTTACCACATTTAATGCATTAAATACACACTTGACATGTCTGTGCCATATAGAGCGACTGCTGTAATGAGCGACTGCAAATATTATTATTCTACTTTTTAATTAATTATTTACTGTTAGAGTTATTTTTAATATGATCATTTTAAGTGCAATCAATTTATATTTATTGGCATAGTTTCATNAGCGACTGCTGTAATGAGCGACTGCAAATATTATTATTCTACTTTTTAATTAATTATTTTCTGTTAGAGTTATTTTTAATATGATCATTTTAAGTGCAATCAATTTATATTTATTGGCATAGTTTCATAGTCAGGAGTGATATTTTGGAGAACATAAAATTTTAGAAAATGATAGCCAAACATGCCCTAATAACTTAATTGTTTCTTGTTTAATTACGTACTTCCAAAAAGATAAAGGTCGTAACTGAAAAATGTCATTGCTAGGGAAACGGTTCACTCTTGATGTTCTTCAATATATAGTCCAATGGATGCAAGCATCTAACATAGACTATCCATATGTTGTGTTCCTTTTATGCAGTTTGAGCAGAAAGTATCAGCTGTGGAATGTTACATGAATGAGAAAGGGAGCTCAAAAGAAGACGCATTTACTGAATTACAAAAACTTGTTACAAATGCATGGAAGGATATAAACCAAGAATGTCTTCGTCCAACTGTGGTACCAATGGACATTCTCATGCGAGTCGTCAATCTTGCACGTGTCATTAATCTTATTTACAGAGATGGAGATGGGTATACGAATTCCAAAACCAAGTTAAGAGGATTCATAACTGATGTACTCGTTGAACCAGTGAAAATATAAATAGTATATATACATAATAGTATTTCTCTATTAAATAAATTTAAATTTTAATTCCGTTTGTTTCGGATTAATTATGATTAGAACTTTTAATTTTCTTTGTTATTAAATTTTATTATTACCTTTGTTTTAGTTATTTCTTTAAATAATTGTTGTGAGGCATCAAGGCTATAAGTTGTTTTTGAATTGAAAATAGAGGCTTTGGAGTTTAATCAATATTATCTTAAATTCTCGATATTTGATATTTAAAATTAAGGATCTAAATTCTCAATATTCGCGACTTCTATGCTTTCGCCGTACAATAGTTGGTATCAGATCAATGTTCGTTTTCAATAGAGATGAGTTAGTCTCCGTGGAATCTAATGCTAAAAGTTGTATTTTATGACCATTCAGTTTGAATGTTGAAGGCTATTCTGATCTTGATTATAATAATTACATTCATCTTCCAATATTTGATGATGATATTGAAAATGTTTGAGTTTGAGAAACGCGGACGAGCCTTACGATGAGTTCATATTTTTTATACTGATCCTGATACCAAGATCTTTAAGGGATTTCAGATGCAAATTATTCAACAAATCAATCGTGATGGAGAGATTAATCGAGCTCGATATATGGCCCAAAACCCATTTGCTATCTCCACTATAGCTCAAACAAATATACCCATAGCGAAATAATTCTTCTCCCAAAAGCAAATAAGTAAAACATCTTTCCTGACAATTCTATGTGCAGAAAATATCTTTAAAAAATCAATCNTTGGTGTCTCCATTGGAGATGCCCTGAGGGGCCATTATAGTGAAGGATGTGGGCTCAATTGAAAAATGTTTGAGTTTGAGTGATGTAAATTAGTCCTACGGTGGGTCCATATTTTTTTATTGATCCGGATACCAAGATCTTTTAAGGAATTTCATGTGCAAACTATTCAACAAATCAATCATGATGGAGAGATTTATCGAGCTCGATATATGGCCCAAAACTCATTTGTTATCTCGACTGTAACAATTATTGCGAAGGTCTATGTATTTGATTATAGCAAACATCCATCTAAGCCACATGTAGACAGTACATATAACCCTAACATGAGGCTAAGGAGCCATGATAGTGAAGAACGTGGTTTGTCCTTGAGTCAATTCAAGCATGGTCATTTATTGAGTGATTCTGATGAAGTAAGAACTAAAGATAGATTTGAGGACTCTAATAGTTGGATTTAAAATTATAATTGCTGGTAACTAATGGTCTCCCGAGGGTGTAATTATCTTATTAAGAGGCTGTCTGAAGCCACTACTAATCAGAATTCCAACCGTTATGGCCGCACAATTTGACTTCTTTGTGAGAGGGTGGGCCCCATTTTTTAAAAACTAACGATAAAAAAAAGCCCAATTTTGCTGATTTTAAGCTGAACCAGACAAGTCCTAAATGGAACATCCTTGTCACGATAAATTGGATAAGAATGCAGTGCAAAATTCGATGACAAATCTTCGTTAATCGGAGATGTCTGAAGCCACTACTAATCAGAATTCCAACCGTTATGGCCGCACAATTTGACTTCTTTGTGAGAGGGTGGGCCCCATTTTTTAAAAACTAACGGTAAAAAAAAGCCCAATTTTGCTGATTTTAAGTTGAACCAGACAAGTCCTAAATGGAACATCCTTGTCACGATAAATTGGATAAGAATGCAGCGCAAAATTTGATGACAAATCTTCGTTAATCGGAGGTGAATGATGAAGATTAAGTTTTTATTATCTTTTAGTTAGTATATTTTTATTAAATAAATTTTAATTTTAGTTCTGCTTATTTTAGATTAATTTTGGATATTATGACTTTTCATTTTTGTTATTATTTTTTAATTTTATCAATTATCTAGATTTTAATAACTATCTAGATTTTAATAATTATGCAGATTTTTATAATTATTTATTTGTATAAGGGTTGTAAGCCATTTCGGCTAGAATTTGGGCCAACATTGACGCCGTAAAATCATTGCTCTCGTCTGCGAACTTATAGCCAAGGTCTCGGTACGAAGTTCACTGAGAAGTGAAATCAATAGAGTTTTTCATTTCTCAAGACAACTTCTTCTTTCATTTTTCGTGTCTGTAATATTGAATCTCAATTAAATGGGTTGTATGGTTAGGTGAGTATTAAAGAAGAAAAAAGATTTTTCATTAATTTTAAAGTAAGTTATTTTGCATCATTTATATTACAATAACATTCTAAATAACACTAAGTGACATTAAATATGCAGTACAATTAAACGAGTCACATAAATCTACCTTAATTGATCGTATCACATAGTGTCGCATATACTTATGTGGTAAAAGCACATTTAAGAGATTATTTATTTATAAAGAGTATCTTATATATAATAAATATTATTTTTAAATTTAGATAGTAAAACTTTCCTCTATATTTTAGCTCTTCATTTTGTATTTCTTAAGAAATATCTATTGATTTCTCCTTATATTTTATTTAACATGTTTTGAATAATTTAATAAGTATAATATTGAAATCTTTTATTTTTTAAATGCAATCATTGTAAATTAAGAATAGAGAGTGAGGTTGATTATCTAAATTTGAAGAGCCAAACTTTCCATTTATTTTAAAAAGTTCTTATTTTAAAACATCAACTCTCTAAAATAAAGAGCATTTTGTCTTTAAGGAGTCTCTTAGAGATAACATTATTCTTAATTCTAACATCAAGTACATTGTGTACCAAATAAATGTTTACAAAATAATAATTATTCCAATCTATGGTAGATTTTTCATTCCTTATTTGGTTTTCATAAAATAATAACATGGTAAATTAATTATTTGCATTTAGTATTTACGAAATAGAGTATCTGAGTACATACTATTTTACTTTATGGTAGTATCTGAGTTACATGTTATTTACGGCATACCATGCATGCCGTAAAAGGTGAACTTTGTTTTAGTGTTTGTTTGGTATTCATAAAATAATAACATAGTAAATTAATTATTTGTATTTAGTATTTACTAAATAGGGTCCCTAAGTAAATATTATTTCACTCTACGGTAGATCTTTCATACCTTCTTTGGTGTTCATAAAATAATAGCATAGTAATTTAATTATTTGTATTTAGCATTTACAAAATATAGTGTCTGAATACAAATTATTTCAATCTATCGTAGATATTTTTCATACCTTGTTTGGTGTTCAAAAAATAAAGACATAGCAAAATTTAATTATTTCCATATATGCATTTGCTTATGGAAATATTAGAACTGAGATCCCTCAACCTTCATGCATTATGGTTATGGGTCCTTAAACTTCGAAATGGAAGTTTTGAGTAATATATAAACTAGCGTCCCTATTTTAATTTATCGCTTGTGATTTTCACGTGACTTAAAGGTAAAGAGAAAAACAATCGAACCACTTATCTATTCAATTAAAAGTCGCATGAAACTTTAACATTTACATTTACAATTACAGTTTTCATCACGTACTGACCCAAATTCATGAATCTAAATAGATTAGGGACTTAAACCTAATATTTCCCTTTATTTAGTTTACCATCCTCAGCCTCCCCCACCCCACCCCACCCCACCCACAAAGCTCTATATACTACACAAATCTATGGTAGATTTTTCATTCCTTGTTTGGTTTTCATAAAATAATAACATGGTAAATTAATTATTTGCATTTAGTATTTACCAAATAGAGTATCTGAGTACATACTATTTTACTTTATGGTAGTATCTGAGTTACATGTTATTTACGGCATACAATGTATGCCGTAAAAGGTGAACTTTGTTTTAGTGGTTGTTTGGTATTCATAAAATAATAACATAGTAAATTAATTATTTGTATTTAGTATTTACTAAATAGGGTCCCTAAGTAAATATTATTTCACTCGACGGTAGATCTTTCATACCTTCTTTGGTGTTCGTAAAATAATAGCATAGTAATTTAATTATTTGTATTTAGCATTTACAAAATATAGTGTCTGAATACAAATTATTTCAATCTATGGAAATATTAGAACTGAGATCCCCCAACCTTCATGCATTATGGTTATGAGTCCTTAAACTTCGAAATGGATGTTTTGAGTAATATATAAACTAGTGTCCCTTTTTGAATTTATCGCTTGTGATTTTCACGTGACTTAAAGGTAAAGAGAAAAACAATCGAACCACTTATCTATTCAATAAAAAGTCGCATGAAACTTTAACATTTACATTTACAGTTTTCATCACGTACTGACCCAAATTCATGAATCTAAATAGATTAGGGACTTAAACCCAATTTTTCCCTTTATTTATTTTACCACCCCACCCCACCCCACCCCACCCACAAATATACTACACATAAAAAGAAGACTGATAGAGAAAGGAGAGAAGTGACAAGAAGGAGGCCATTGCTAGTTACTTTTCTCTCTCTAAACTTCTTGCATTTTAGAGAGAGAGATGAATCTGTGGGCTCAGTACTGTAAATTTTGTGCGGTGCTGCTTATTTTTCTTGGAATTAACCAATCAAATGCAAAGATTTGTGATTTGTTTGAAGGAAGTTGGGTCCCTGATTCATCATCCCCCCTCTACAACTCAAATTCCTGTCCATTCATTGAGAGAGAGTTCAACTGTCAAAACAATGGCCGCTCTGATACCTTATACCTCCATTACAAATGGCAACCTCATGCCTGCAACTTACCAAGGTATTATCATCTTCCCCCCTGTGTTTATAGGATCTTCACATTAAAGAATTATATTAAAAATAATTATTGATAATTGGATCCAAAATTTACAGCTCATTAGCAATCCTGAAAAAGATTCTGTGTCTTCATGTGATAGGATAAAAAACATTAAATTTATCAGCAAAATCATGGGATGTCTTGTGAGAGATCAGATCCCAACACATGCTGCTTACTATTGACTTTTGTCTGCTCATTTTTTATTTTTTTATTATTATTCTTTTTGGCCTTTAACTTTTTACATAATTAATGCTAATTTTTGCTTTAATAAAATTCACTACTTCATAGATTTTTTAATAATTTGTTCTAAAACTCGATTTTTACAATACTAAAACCAGAAATTCATCTGTGAAGCCTGTTTAATTTTCCATCGGAATTAACCAATTCCAACAAACAAAAATGGCCGGAAAGTCCATGTTAATATTAATAGTAATAGTAATAAGGTTGAGAGTGTGTAATAGCTTTTCATCGTTTATTATATTTTATTATAAGGACGACGTCGAGTTAGTTAGAATTGATTTCTCCTTATCGATAGAATACCTATATAGGATGATACAAAATATTTGTTACTTTTCATAAATATCTTTGAACCTTTGATGGGATTAATCGGCCAATTTCGTAGTCGAATCAATTACAAAAACTAAATAAATAAAAAAGGATTTTGATGCGAAATAAATTTGTGTTTGAGCAGATTTGATGGCCAAGATTTCTTGCAAAGATTCAAAGGGAAAAGCATAATGTTTGTGGGAGATTCTTTAAGCCGGAATCAATGGCAGTCATTGACGTGCTTGCTTTACACAACCTTACCTTCGACCAAATATAATGTTTCTAGAATCGGAGATGTTTCTACATTCACATTCACGGTAAGATCAAACAATTTTGCAAGTCGTATATAATACTGAGTACCAAACATGTTTAAAAAATTTGTCCATTTTGAACTAGTGTGGGGTCCTTCAATGTCTTTTAGGGCATCAAATGCAACTCATAACAAAAGTTATAAAGCCAGTGCATCTATATGCTTAGGCTACATATAAAAAATAGAGACCAAAATGAGTATGAGCAATAAAAGAATCAAAAAGTTCATTATAATGACATCAAAAAGACTTGTAAAATGGATCGAGATTCCAATTTGAAATTAAGTATCAGTTAAACTTGGAATTCCGTTATCTTGCTTGAATGTTTGCGCCGAACTAAAAGATTGTAAGATTTTGCAGGATTTCGACGTTAAATTGATGCTTAATCGCAATGTATTTTTGGTGGATGTTGTGAGAGAAGCCAAGGGTAGAATCTTGAAATTGGACTCAATTGAAGGTGGAAAACTATGGAAGGGGATTGACATATTTATTTTCAACACATGGCATTGGTGGAATCGTAGAGGAGCTACACAACCGTTAGTTCAAACTCTTATTTTAAATCGTTATTGAGACACACATTATCATATGCTACGTGTTCTCCAAAGTGTCATTCATTATTGGTCCAATTAACTACATTAAATTTGACATTTTCAATCATTTTCAACCGCGTAAGATATTATAAATCTCTTTTTTTTTTTTCTCTTTTTTATATGCAGATGGGACTATATTCAAGTAGGACAGCAGTTATACAAAGACATGGATAGAGTAGTTGCCTTTGAGAAGGCACTAAACACATGGGCAAAATGGGTGGACACCAACATTGATCCTGCCAAAACCAAGGTTTTCTTCCAAGGAATTTCCCCCTCCCATTACAAGTAAGTGCTAGTAAGATTTCCAGTCTAGTCGAGTATGTCATTAATCTTACAGTCTTATATCTTCATCTACCAGCGGCAGCACATGGGACGAGCCGAGTGCAAAATCTTGTGTAGGACAGAAGGAGCCACTGGCTGGCTCGACATATCCCGGTGGATTGCCATATGCTTTAACTGTGCTGAAGAAAGTTCTGGGCACAATCAAGAAACCCGTCACGTTACTCGATATAACGAATCTTTCGTTGTTGCGCAAAGATGGACATCCTTCTATATATGGGTTGGAAGGAAGAACAGGAATGGATTGCAGCCATTGGTGTTTAGCAGGATTGCCTGATACTTGGAATCAAATTCTTTATAGTCTCATTCTTTAAACATTATTGGAAACTAAATTTTTGAATAAATAATATAATTTGAACGAGAGTTTGAATAGAGGCTTCTGAAATTTTGTTTATTCTATTTAATCTTGTTTAGTGTTGGATATGAAATATGAGCGTGTTAGTCTCAGAAAATCCACTGAGCAACACGAGGAAATTTTCGACATAGTTGATTACTCGACATAAAAGTGAAAAATATTTGTCTACACGAAATAGAACAAATAGACCTCCGAATTCAAAATTATTTGTATCAATTGAATTCCAAGATCCAAACTGTTGACCCCAAAAAATGTTGCCAACAGATGCCGGGTCCACTCGTGCACACGCAAGCTTGATCCAACACGCTAATACCGATCGACGGTCATGATGGCTCCAGGTAAAAGGCGTGGGAGTGGCTAGAAGGCACGAGACGTTTCCGTTCAGACCATCGGCACGAATATGATACGATTGTTATAAGAAACCAATCCACAAAGTACGATCTATAGCAATGAAATGTTATAGAAAATGTAGTTGAAACGAGAAAGATTGCTCCAAAATATTCAGTTTGCTCTCCTATTATGCATTAGTCCTCTTTTGTTACATGGTGGGGGTATTTATAGTGTTACAATTCGAATGGTGACCTTTGAATCAATTTACACGTGGCCTCATCTCTTCGGCCAAGACATCAAATCCTAGCAATCAAGCTGACCTTCCTAGCTTTGCAAAACATTAAATACCCTTACATTGACAAGACAAGACACAGATAAGCTTTTCATAAGAGTCACGTCAATCATTCATAAAAGATCTCCATCATAAGCGGATCCTTGCAAGTGGGTCTTCAATGGCTGCTGAGGAGCCTTGGATGATGCACGCCCACCGAACCGCGGTTTATTGTTAGCAGCAATGGCCTCGGAACAATAATGAGGGCCTCGGAACCCACGTCTGATGCTAGAAAAACATGTCCTGATTTAATCAAGCTGGTGCCACCCCCAAAATGTGACGCCACGTGTCGCTTACATGTACTAACCCGTAACACAAACAATATTTATAACCACGTATATATTATACTAGCTTTATCGAACACAACATCAATTATTATAAAGAGAAATCAAATCACATCTCATAATAAATAAGATAGGTTTGTATCATAGAATCGAATGATTTCATGAAACGAGATGTCTCAAGAGTCAAAAAGGGGCAGGCCAACTACAAAATTTGAAGTTTACACGAAAAAAAGAGTACTTTTATAACTTCGTAAAATCAATTAATTACTAGGGGTGTGTTTAATGGATATTACTGAGGAAAAAAATATTTTAAATTGTGATATGATGGAAAATATGTGGTTAAAAAATAAGGAAAAGTTATTGCTGTGATGTAAAATATTATTTTATTGAAAAATGTGTGGTTAGAAATAAATTTTGAAAGAATGTGGGTTGAACATGGGCTAAATGAAAATATTTTTTGTTCTATCTTGATTAAAAGAAATAATAAACTTAAGCAAAAGTATGTTGAATTAGATGAAGTATGCTGAATTAGATACGACACAATATTATTAACGAAAATATGCGTTTCACTGGGGATGGACAAAAGTTAATTTCCTTTAGTAATATTGTAATTGATTGTTTAATATTGAATGTCAAACCAACACACTCAAATCATTAATTTCCTACATTTTTGTCCTTTTTGATAGTCGTGTCTTCCAAGTCTTGTACATGCAAAAGTCATCAATCATTTTCATTTCAAAATTGCATAAATCAAGCCTTTGTTTGGCCACACTTTTTTATTATCTAAAGATAATACCCTGTTCGACTTAACTTTTTCCGAACACTTTTAGATAAATTAATGATTTACAACGATGGACTTTTAGATACACTGAGGGCCAATTGCTCTATCAAATACATTACTTCTAACTCGTCATGTGGAAGTATTATGACCCTTTATGCTAGAATTGACTCAATAATGTGACCTAGTTGGCGTGTAAACTAGAAGTGGCTTTTATGATACGTGACTTTGTGCATTTAGGACCCCATTCCCACCGCCTTCACTTTAAAGGTTCGTCCAAGTGAAATGAACTTGCTAAAATAACTGGAGGACACATCTTAGAAACCCACAAAGAAACAAAAGCAAGCGGCGTAGTTCATCTATACGTAACCAATATTTCCAAGGCATCCCAAAATAGTTTCTAGTACGAATATTCCTTCATCAATTTCAACCCTTTGACCAAGCCATCCAACTTGTATACCTAATACATCTACATATAAACATGCCAATAACCTTCAACTTCATTCCATTCCATTCTCCAAGCTTTACCATTGCTATAAGATCGAGCTTGCTTACATGGCACGTTATGCAGGATTTTCGCTTGCTCTGATTCTCGTACTTTTGTATTTCACACAATCCTTGAAAGCAAGAAAGTTCCCTAACACTTTGGATGGAAGTTTAATAATGAGTGCCCTTCCCAAGGGCACTGTTCCACCTTCTTCTCCTCGTGAAAGAGGTAATGTGGTGACTACTGGTGGAAAGCTCCTTGGGGTTCAGCCTAGACAGGTCGATAATCCATCCCTAGTCTTGATGTTGGTCATTGAAACTCTACAAGAAACTGCCATGAAAGACTTATTAGGATCTTCTTCTTGAATTTTCCCCCTAATACATTCTTGAAAATTTTGTACAATATATATTCTTCTTCTAAAGTGAATTTATATATCCATGCACGTTAATCGAAGTACAGGAATATGAATTATTCTATTTCTAAAAGCATCCAATAAAAATTCATTCGCAACAAAATCCAAATGCTGAGGACGTTGTTACCAATTAAAGATACGTTGAGAGAAATATTTGCTCTATTTAAACTAGGTTGAGAACGTTAGCTATATATAATCTCCATACTCTTCCAAGTATTGGGCACCTCGGTCCACAACATATTCCAACCATGGTGCCAAAAAATGGTAAGTGGGGAACAATTACAAAAGATCAGAGATAGAAATGCAAAAATAGTCGAAGTTTGGAGATTAATAATGTAACTTCCTAATAGATTTGATAGAAAATATGTATAGAGAGATTGAAAGATCTCATTTAATTGGGAAAAGCGTCAACAGATTATTGTTGGGATAGGAAAGGGACTGGAGTATCTTCACGTGCACAGCAATTCCAACATTATTCATTTCAACATTAAACCTCCATAGTACCCTTCTCAACAAATAATGTAATGTGAAAATTGCAGATTTTGTATGGAGAGACAAACAAATATACCCATAGCGAAATAATTCTTCTCCCAAAAGCAAATAAGTAAAACGTCTTTCCTGACAATTCTATGTGCAGAAAATATCTTAAAGAAATCAATCACACCAAACCACAAGAACACAAGCAATTATTTTATGTGAAAAAACTTCCCCTTTGTGAGGAATAAAAATCACGGGACCCAGTCCAGTGAAAACCTGCACTATCAATCAAATAATGGTAGGCAAAGTCTTCTCTAATCATAACTAGGGATATAATGTATATTTCTTCAACATAACAAAGATCTCGAACAAAACACTATGAAATAGGAAAATATACAAACAAATGCAGTTATCACTACAACAAAAATAGTCATTCGCAACACTGAAAAGGCAACATTTGTGGGTGTTTTGGCAACATTTTAGTTAGTGAATGTTGCCATTGGTATTAATAAATGAGTTTTGACAACGTTTTTTAGAAAAATGTTGCAGTACACACCTTTAGCAACGTTTATTGAATGTTACGGAAGGTTTTACCTTTCGCAACGTTTATCAAATATTGCGAAAGGTAAGACTTTTCGCAACGTTCACCAAACGTTGCTAAAAGTCATCTTTAGCAACGTTTGTGAAAACTTTTGTTTTTTTTTTTTTTAAATATACGTAACCCAAACCCTATATTTATTCACGTCTCCCTCCGTTCCTCTCCAACCCGTGTCTATGTTACCCACCACCTCCACCTTCCAGAACCACATCCACCGGATAAAACCACCAATAGCCACCACACCCACCAACCACACAACCACCCTCAGCCTCACCTTATCTCACACAATCGTGCCTCTGTTCTCCTCTACTCCAGGCAGCGTTCTTTGAATCTTCGTAGGTAAATTATCATTAATTACTCAAAAATTGTAGATCTCATAATTTTGGATACAGAAATGGCTTCATTTTCTTCAAATCTTCGAACTGTAGAGGAGATCTTCAAAGAGGATAGCGCTCGTCGTGCCGGAATCGTTTGTGCTT